GGGGGGGGCAGCAGCTTCGCATAAGCACATCATTCACGAAAGTTGGCCGCAGACCACGCAGATGTGGGCGTCAGTGTCGCAGACAACTAGCGAAGCATCTAAGAGCCCCCTGCCGAACAACAGCCAGGCAGATCAGTGGCTACAATGGGAGATAACCCGAGCAGTTACTTCCCATCGCGTCTGTCTTCCTCCCGTTCATTCCGTTTCGAGGATCTGCCGGTCCTGCCCAACCACTCGCCGAGTTTCTCAGCATGGCTGACAGAGTGCATGCGGATTCGCCCCTCTCGACGGCCTACACGCTAATGAGCGTCGAAGCAAGTGCAGAGCTTCGAGTTCACGGTGAAAGACCCTAGGCAGCCATTGCCAAATCGGACAAGCTGCTATGCTGCGCACTGTCGTCTTGAGATAAGAGCGAGTGTACTCACGAATAAGTGTCGTTGATGTGGGGTGAAATTGATGGGGATGAGAGTGCTGCGTGACGATGTGCGCTTCCCTATGCGTATTCTCAGACTCTCGTGATGTCAAAGCCCATCCTTCTGAGAGCCGCTTCTGGACCTGTGGCTGCAGCTGCGGTGCGCTCTGCAGCCAAATCCAGGACCCACAGCGCGCGTTCGCGCGAGCGCGCGCGCGGCTGGGGGTCTGAGCCGCAGCCACGTGGTCAAACACGTGGTCGCAGCTCGAATCAGCATCTCGCAGGAAGGCGCGCGTTCGAGAAAGCCAGACAGCCAAACCCAACCGACCTGCGGTCACACGTTTACAAAGAAATACACTCTTTCCCTACCAGCACCCGCTCTCTACAACCCAGCACCTCTAAACCTCAAGGTAAGCATCGGGACCTCTTCGCTGGCGCATTGCTGGCTCTGTTAGCATTTCGTAAAACGGCACCCGTGGGGTTGGCGCAGAGACAGTGAGAGACGCGTACAATCAGCATGGAAGGACTGGGAAGCAATCGGGTGCGCGGCTGCGAGGGTTGCCTTGAGCTTAGACCTCCGAGAGAGATGTGGTTGGGAGCATGAGCGAAGCGTCAGGTTGGCCTTGGTGCTGCCCTGTGCCAAGTGTAGGAGCATCAATCGTCAGGGAACATCCATGCGAGGCCGAGATGGAGATGGTTAGGGTCGCAACTTCGAGCACCCAGTCGTCAATGATAAAGAATGGCGCTCCATCGTCAGGCCTAGCAGGTGGCATCTGTGGCCGAACCGCAGCTCTGAGGATCGATCAAAACTAAGAAGCTGACCTTGAACGACCATTTGCTGCAGACTAGTCAAAATGGCCAAGCCTCGTGGACTGAACGCCGCGCGCAAGCTGCGCACGATCCGCAAGGACAACAAATGGGTCAGTCATCCCCTTCGACTAACGTTCGCGAAAGACGCGGCGACCTTTCCCTGACACTGTGGAACACCTTGACCGTTTGCAGGCTGATGCGCACTACAACAAGCGCATGCTCGGAAACTTCTACAAGTCCTCGCCCACAGGAGGTTCATCTCAGGCCAAGGGCATCGTGCTCGAGAAGGTTGGTGTCGAAGCCAAGCAGCCCAACTCCGCCATTCGAAAGTGCGTTCGTATTCAGCTCATCAAGAACGGAAAGCGTGTGGCTGCTTTCGTCCCCAACGACGGTTGCTTGAACTTCATCGATGAGAACGACGAGGTCCTGATCTCTGGTTTCGGTCGCAAGGGAAAGGCAAAGGGTGACATTCCCGGTGTCCGTTTCAAGGTGAGTACCTAGACTGGCTTGACAATCGGCGGTGGCGGGTAGGCATCAGTCTCGCTTGCCGTGGCATGGATGACAGGATAACTCGCGCAGATTCTGACTCCACGTCGATTTCTGTGCATTCCCACAGGTCGTCAAGGTGTCCGGTGTATCTCTCTTGGCTTTGTTCAAGGAGAAGAAGGAGAAGCCTAGAAGTTAGATCGCCACGCACCCAAAATCGCCTGACCGGCAACCACGGCAGCCATGCGGCAGCCATGTCGAACACCTTGTACTTCCGTCATTCTATGACCCCACGCATCACTGTCATGCAATACGATTTGGCCAGGCTCTCGTCACAAGTCCTCGAGATTGAATCAGCTTGCATGGTCGGTGGTGTTTTTGAGGGGGGCCGAGCGGGCTCGAGCGTAAATCGCAGTCGGTGGGGTAAGTCTATGCACAGCCGGCATCATCCGTGCCCAGACTGGACCACACGCATTCGCAACGACTCTGCGGCGCTTGCGGGAATACAGCCTCGTTCCACTATCAAGGCTTTCATAGAGTTCAAGAGGTGAAACGTTTCGAGTGGGCTACTCTTCCAAGCGCGCCTCATACCTGACCCTGCTTTGGCCCTCTGCGCCTATTCGAGCAGGTGTACACTGCATCTTCGCACGGGCGCGAGCGCATGCATGGAGTCCTCCCTGTGTGCCCAGCGCACGTCCTCGCTGTGTTGGCCATCGTGCGCAGCCAGCATCAGTCTCAATCACGAGTGTCCCTGGCGACGGCTAGCCCACGACTTGCACAGTCGAAGTGGGAGTAGGTTTGCAAGCTTGGTAAAAAGGCCTTGTCTCTCACACTGACCTCAGTATGCCGCAGGCTCTTTCGCCGTCATCTGATGAAGGTCGATTGAGCAGCTGTAAGACAAAGCTCACCTCTATGACTGCTCGACGAGGCACAGGCACCGATAATGTTCGCCCTCAAGCGATTGTTCTTCTGTACATCTTCACGGTGGGCTGAGCCCGGTGCGCACATCTCGTGAAGTATCACCCACTCCCTTCGACCGTGACTCTCGGTCAGGTGCAGTCGGAGTGTTGTAAAGCCTTGAAGATGCGTGACCATGAACCAAGCAGACGAAAGTGCCTTGTCTTTCTGTTCCACTCTACTACTCCTGACTGGTGTCTCTGTTGAATTTATTGCGATGCAGGTTGCTCGCGCGAGCCGAGTGCAGATCGAAATCGTGGATAACGCAACACTCTCGAGTCGTCAGTCAGAGTCAGAAATGAGTTAATGGCGAGTCTAGCGAATCTGAAACAGAAGAGTCGCGGGTCGTGTTCACTCGATCAAGACTCACCGACTCCTTCTCGCCTCGTGATATATGTATATGCCCACCACATGACTTTTGACTGTGGCTCAGACTCAACTTGAACGACGCTGCATTCAATTGCTTTCGGTCATCACCAGCATGCACTCACGACTCATCCGTCCCTTTCATCACCGAAAGCGGCGAGAGAGAAAGGTGGCGTGTATGCCTTGTGTCGTCATGCACCCGCGTTGCTCACGTACCCAACGGCATTCAAGACGAGAAGCATGCTGGCAAGCGGCAGCAGCTGCAGCTGCATGGATATAAGAGTCCGCTGCGCTGCTGCCGGGAGCGGGTTAGATTACAGCTATAGCTTTGAATTCTATTATTGTATTGTTCACGATTCAAATCTCGCAATGCACGGAGGCAGAGACACTTCTTCCTCCGTACTCCGAGCCCGGGAGTGGGGTACGCTCGCTCATCTCATGCTGGACGCAGCGCAGCACGAATCACGGATCGTGGATGGCTCGAGGAGGTGGGCTGGGAACGTGCTAGTCGTCAAGGGTCGACCCGTCCGTAGCACGGCTATTGAGACTGCTTCAGCTCGCAAGCTACTCGAGCGAGACCACGCACGAGTCGTCAGCAATCTAGTCGCCCTAAGTCAAGAGTCGTGAATCAATCTGAATCACAATGGTGAATGTGAATCACGAATGCCGTGCCCTTATCATTCCACGAGTACCCACGCCCGTTTGGGCAGGCCGGCTATGACGACGCGGTGCACCTGTACGGTACACAGCTGCCGCAGATGCGGAGCTGTTGGCTATCACTCGATCACGACTCGTGACTCACAAGTCACAACTATATTTATCGACCGCTGCATGCTGTTTGCATCGCGCGCGCGCTCGCATTTTGCTGCTGACTGACGCTGCGCATGCATGCAGTTTGCGATTCGATTTTACGATTGAAATCAAGAATTCAAATCTAAATTCAGCTCAATCGTGGATTGAATTGCTCCCGGCCGTGCCGTGACTCGGCTGCGTCGCCGGTCTCATTTGGTCAGTGATCGTGGATGGGGCTAACCTCATTAGATCATCCACGCCATCCATCCTCCTTCGTCCGCCCCCTACGTGCGGCGGGGCGCTGGTCACCGCTTCTTGTCTCCTTCACAACGCCACGTTAGCCCTATTTCGGTGATAGACGCTGCGATATATATACTTGCTCAGCACAGGATTTCGGCGAATTGCACCCGGCGCTTAACGGATACTACCGCGATGTGGCGCAGTGGCCATTAGCAATCAAGAGCTCCAAAGGCACGCCCCACTCGACTATATGAAGCGTTGCTAGTAGTCTTGGCTTCGCTCCCAATCCGCCAAGCTGCGTTCCGTACTTGAGCCACCTCTTTGAGGGCTCGATCGGCTGTGCCACTTCTTTGCTGCAGTCGAGCGACCCACGAATCTGCCAAGCCTAAGCTTTCAACTTGGAGTTCTTGCTGCAGTCCTCGGCAAATGGTAGATCAAGCCGTTGGAGAGGATTTGCGCACGAATCTTTCACAGCCTTAGTCTGCTTCTGAAGAACTCGGAGCACATATACAAGCGATCACCAAACAGACGAGCAAAAGTAGGAAGATGCGCGGGCACGACGGTATTGAGAGAGGTGGCTTTGTAATGCTCGACGACGAGAGCATACACGCTGTCAAGGCCTTCAGCACCACAGGCGCGAGCGAAACGGGAGAACGCGGCGAAAGCACAACGATGGCATCACAGCCCCTCGGAGCCCGGCAGCGAGAGTTTGGCTCTTCGTGGGGTCCGTGGCCTCTACGCACGACAAGCCGAAGGCCACAGACGTCAGCAGAGTCAAGCTCTGTTTACCCACCTTCGTCTTCGGCTGGCTCGGCCAGGTCGTCTTCCACCTCGCCTCCTTCGCCTTATAGGCCTACGCTGGACTCGCCGCCACCGACACCGCCCGATTACGGCAATTCGAGGACTTGCGGCATTTCCGATCAGCCCCGAATCGCATCCGATCTTGCGGATGCGCGACCGAGGGAAGGGGAGCTGTTCGCATCAAAGAGTCTTTCTGCGTCCACAGCTCTGAAGCTGGCTACTGCCACTTCTCCCTCGCGAAACGATATCTTTTCGCACCCGAGTCCACGTCTCGCACCTGCTCCAAAGCTTCCGCGAAAGTCTGCCGAGCCAGGAATAGGAGACTCTCCAGCTAGTATGAAAAGTCGAAATAGCCTTTTCTTCGACAGTCCTTCTGTCGAGACCGTGCTTACGCCGCTGTCGCCCTCCCGATCTCCTCTGCCCGCACGTGCCCCTGCACTACCTCTTGTTGCACCGAAGTCAGTACGGGACAGCTACGAGGGCACCGAAGAGGGGCTCAGAGAGACGGCATTCTCTCCGGCAACCGATACCTCTGAACGGCCGTCATATGGCAGAAGCAGCACAGAGGAGCGAGAGCGAGAGCGCGATAGGATACGTGCAAGCAAGGACGTTGACTTCCGTCTTTGTCCTGACAAAGACTTTCTCTTGGGCGAGGGCAGGCACTGCAATGTATTCCTTGGCTCTTATCGCACCAAGCATTCGACGCGCCGACCGAGCACCTGCCATCCACACGCTGCCATTAACAGTGATGACGAGCATGACGACGATGGAACGAGCGACTGGAGACTTTGCGCTGTTAAGCGACTACATGCGGATCGCCAGAGTCAATTGCTCGGCCTAGACGAAGCCTTTGCACTACGACGATTGGGATATCATCCCAACGTTGTGCGCCTCATCGACGTCAGAGACGAGGTAGAATTGGCGGCAACAAGCCCTCAGCCGGGTGCCACTTCAGGCTCGTGGGCCGGAAATTGCACCTCGATGGACCTTATCTCCTCAACCGAATCGCAGCAAAGCAATTTCTACCACGGCCGATCCATCTCCTCGGCCCTACCTCGTACTGCTATTTCTCCCGATTCCCTTGGCCCTCGCGTTCCTCGCGTTGAGCGGCCGGAGTTATCTAGCAAGATTCATCGTCGCCTTGGATCACAGCCTCTACATGATAGTGAAAGAAACTCCATTGAGCCTCCAATGCTCCGAGTTGCTAGTCCTGATGACGCTGGAAACGGCAGGTCGATGTCGAGGAGCCCGTCCACATCCGGTGGACTGGACACCCGCCGTGATATTTCGACGGATCGCCCGCAGTCCAGCTCATATTCTGCAGATCCCCCACGCCTTTTGATCTTGCTCGAGCTACTGCCTATTTCGCTGGCAACATTCTCAAGGAAGCACCCAGAAAGCGTGGACCTGCGCCAATGGTCAACCTGGGCCTTGCAGCTGGCACGAACGGTCCAATGGATGCACGCTCGAGGGTGTGTGCATGTGGACATCAAGCCAGAGAATATTTTGGTATGTCATGGAGCCATCTGAGAGGAAGCGGAGCTTGAGCTTACATTCCTGTCTTTCCTCACCTGTGAATGCATCAGCTTTCTGAAGGCTTGGCCGTAAAGCTGTGTGACTTCAACTCTGCAGTCTTCCCAAGCGCAGGCACTCCGCTGCTTGACGGAGCTGGGCTAGGCACGCCCGCGTATGGTGCGCCCGAGCTGACGCGGGGAGCGTCAAGCTCCAGCCGAAACGGATTTTCTTATCCTGTAGATATTTGGAGCGTGGGAGCAGTCCTCTACTCGCTAGCGATCGGAGTCGCTCCCCTCGCCAAAAGCAGATCGATGATCGATATGTTGTACCGGAAGCGCGCGTTCTTTGAAAGCGAAGAAAACGATCGCGTCGCTAGGATCCACGTCGCTGGTGGATACAATGGCAGCGTAGCAGGAAGCAATGCTGCGAGTCGGAACAGCAGCTTGCGTGGTCGAAATCGCCGCACCGCTCGACAGTCGGCATCCGAAAACGTTGCGAATATCGCTGGCTATACGCCGCAAAGCCACTCTTTGCGGCGCGAAGCGAGCATGGAAAGTATCGACAGCGTCAGCAGCAATATCTTACTGGAAGACGGCCGTCGCACCGTTCCACTCAGAGCCGTGAACATGCTGTTGAGCGATGCTCCCTTGATTGGCGTCTTGCCAACGGATCATGTGACCTTAAAGGGAGCAGCCGAGTCGGAGCCTAGCCGGAATTGCACCATCGTCGCCGCCGCTCAACACCATCGCACAGCTTCCCTGGGCAAAGCGCATTTGGCTTCCAAGCACCCGCATGCACAAGTAGGTCCTCAAACCTCAACTGCGAGCGACGCCCAATCCGCCGCACAGGTCGAGGGCCGTCCCGTGCGGCCCGTGGCAAACTTTCGTCGGGCCACATCTTACGGCGCAGCAAATCCCACAGTAGAAGACGACGCCTTCGTCATGCAGCCTCCGCCTGAGCCTCTCCGCTCATCAATTCCTGTCAAGAAAGCGCCCACTGGCTCCAATGGCCTGCTATCGCCTCCGCAGTCGCCTCAAGTTTCCATCCACCGGCTGTCTAGCAACAACACCGGATCTCTACACGCCGGACTCGAATCAGCTATCTCTGCTGCATTCGCGCACGATGCACATCGCGCCGGACAAGACGTCAGCTCAATAGCGCAAGAGGCAGGCTCAAGCGTCGAGGGCAGGGCACGTAGCGCTTCGGGTGCTAGTGCTCTGGTGTTGCCACGGTCGCCGCTTTCTGCATCGTATCAGACACCTGAATTAGGAGCTGATGGACAGAACTTGCAAATTGATGATGAGGAGGTATTGGAAGAAGATACGCGCCCTTACAATGATGGTACGCCCGCCCTCCTGCTGCCAGGCGGAGGCCGTTTGCCAGATGGCGCTCGCACTCTCTTGGAACAGATGTTGTCCTTCGACCCTGCCAGGCGACCCAGCGCTAGCCAAGTCGTGTCCGCCCTGGAGCGCTTGGCGCTGTCGGGAAGATAAGGCCATCATTCGAGGCATCGGCCGGCTTCATACTGCTAGCTGTTCCTCTCGCATGGTCTCTCCGAACAAGCAAGATCTCATACGTTCAGTTGCGAAAAGTTCCTGCGCTTTTCATGAAATGAATCACAAACCTTGGACTCCCCTCCTTCCATCTTTTCTGACCGTACCGACCTCGTCAAATCATCGCCCGTGCTGTTGTACATCATGTAAAATAGACGCTCACATCTACTCCCACAACGGAATTATCGATTCCTGGTCTAGGTGCGTTCGTGATTTGTCACCATACCCCTTGACTCTCAGAAGTGCGCTCGTCGGATGTCTTGGCTCAAAGCTGCGACTCTCGGCTCTCGGTTTGCGGTCGCCCCTCTATTGCGCCATCAGCCGTCTTGGCATTGGGTTGGCGTCCAACACGTGTGGTCCTAGTCATGCTGATGGGATCGAGTGCGTGTCTTTCCCCTTGTAACGAGCCATGGCATAGCTTCGGAACACACACGTGTATGATCTGAGTGCGTGCTGATGAGTGTTTTCTGGTTCGCAATAAGGCTGTGCAGCGTGGCCGTGGCTTCGGCTTCGGCTCACGGCTTCGCGCCTTCCAGCCCATCCTACCCGGCCATGGCCGGGTCACCGCGCATGCATGCTGCTGCGATCACGAATTGACTTGGCCCTGCATGCAATTGCAGAGCCTGCGGCCAGTGGTCGTGAAGAAAGTGTGGCAGGAATGAGAAACACAGGCGCATCGAGAGTCACCAGCTTGGTCACAGGCAGGTGCAGACAGTCGGCTGCGCGCGCGCTCGTTCTCAGCATTGACTCGTGCGAGCGAGCTGACAGACGCCCTGCATGCAGCCAGCATGGCGCAGGCGATTTTCACGACGCCGCGGCCGCTAACCTCGCGCGACTCGACTCGTGACTGCTGCTGCTGATGACTGCTGCTTGATTTGACCCGGCTGCTGCGCGCAAGTCGTGCGCTGCTGCCAAAAGACTTTTGCACCGCCTCTTTTGGGTCTCTGCCCTTTGGGATGCCCCTACCATAGTAACCCAAAAGTCTCGCGGTGTTTCGCTCGTCGCGACCCGCAACGTTCCTCCTTGCGAAGACGCAAACGTTTGTGAGCTTGAGACCTTCATCCAACATTGGCTTTGCTCAGCGAGGGGCTTGCTTTCGGATCAGAGCCATGTGCACAAAGGCATCTTTCACGATCAATCATCGATCTTGAGCGCGATCGCCGCTCCATCCTTGCCCAGCACAGCCACTTGGAGCTTGTGCGCTAGTCCTCATCGGATCGACGGATCAGACTTCTCGACTCTCCTCGGCTCAAACATACTCTCACTGCCTTCACTAATCCTGATCCTTCACTACTTGCCAGTCGTTGCTGTATTCGGTCAGATCTTGCACCCGCCTCGCCCTCGCAGCTTACATCCACAGCAGCAACCATCTCTTCGACCGCACGTGGTCGCGCCAAAGTAAGTGCAGCATGTAGTCCTAGTCTTCTTCATTGCGAACGTGGCGCCAACCGTTCTTTTTTCCTTGCCTAACAGCCTAACCTCACTTCGATTTGCCAGCAATCACCCGAGCGCACTCTTTCCCATCGTTGCGATTCTGGACCATCCGCAAACACCTTCTTCCGGGGAGACCTGCTGTATAGCTCGCCGCCAGCGTTTTGCGTCGATGCAGCCCGCCTTCCAAAGCAAGTCTTCTGATTCGCCGTCCACATCTTTTGCATCAGGCCATTTGCCAGCAGCTTCCGCGGAACAGAACGCAGGAGACTTGACATCACCAGAGGCTAATTGGAACAACACAGCATCCGTCAGTCAGGGGTGGGAATACAGTGAAGCTGGGCAGGTTGTGCCTTCAAGCTTTCAGCAGCTCGGCGCCGATCAGTACCAAGGAGGGTGAGTCTTCATCGCTCTGTCGGTCTCGGTCTCGTACTTAGATCCTAGCAAGCCTGACCGACAAACATTCTTTCTACGAGTCTCGAAAGGTCTGAAAGGGATCAGCAAGCCGATCGGTTGAGCCAGTACACACCTTCATACGCAGATTCAACCGCGGACATCGATTTGGCGTCCCAGTCAGATCTCTTAGCAGCCATCGCCGCTGGGCAGGTTGGGGCTACTGGTGACTTGGCCTACGACCCGGACACAGTCGATAGCTACTCCAACCTCTTTGGCCTAGACCAGCTGCCCTGGGCAAGCAATAGTGTTGCAACTAGCACATCCCAGCAACCTTTCTCGGCTCCGGCCCACTCTCAACAATTCTCGCTGCTGCATTCAGGTCCCTCTGCACACGACTTGCAGTCCTCTCTTCAGCAGTCCGAGCAGGCAACCAGCGCCGTATCACCAATCGTTTCGCCCTTGCTCAACAACGCCTCGCCGTCCCTCTCACAGCCAGCTCGAGCGTCGAATCTTGGATCTGAGCCTCACGGTACCGCGTCAGGAACTGGTCTCACTCAAGCCGAGGAAGCCTGGTTGCAGAGCCTCGGTCAAAGGATATCATTGCAAGACGCAAACAGTGGAGAGGTACAAGCTCCCGCTGACCAAATATTTGAACCAGTCTTTGAGGAAGACGAGGAAACTGCTGCACCTCAATTTATAGCAGGCCAGCACGTCATGCAGGACATTCACACCAGAGGTGAGACGCCCCAGGTGCCAACCCTGAGTATCAACGATACGACACTTGAAGGCAGCGACCTGATGCAGCAGGACCAAAGTGGTCAGCAGCAAACGCAGCATGCGAATCCTTTCAATTTCACTAGTCAACCAATGCGGGCGAATAGCGATCTAGCATTTGGAGATGGACACCTGTCAGGACACGGGCGGGCCATTTCGACGGGCTCTATGCCTACCGCGCCGGTCCAGAACGCCACTCTGGCTGGTTTCGCGGAATGGCCTGCTGCCCTCCAGATTGACACTTCTAAACGACGAGCAAATGTTCCTGTCGAGTACAGCAATGTGTCGCAAGCATCTATGAGCTCCTTGTCAGGCGCAATGCCTTCACAGACCCATTCTGACAGGGACGGAAGCTCGAACACCCTTTCGGTCAACGCAGGTCTGCCTCCCGCTCGTCAAGACTCGTACGAAAAATTACGCAAATTTCTCAAGCTGGATGTGGACATGGGCTTCTTGTCTGCCAAAGGATCAGGAGTCGACTCGCCCACGGGTACTGGCATGACTGCTTGGAGAAGGCGGTCAAATTCGGATGTGGGGCCCCGATCACCTGTGACTGGTCCTGGAGCTGGGGCGTCTCTATTCAGCGTTATTCCTGGCGGTGTAACAGATAAGACACCTACTGCAATGACTGCCGGAGTGGACTGGGCCACTCAGACTGCCAAGGTCAGGGCTGCCAGAGATATCGCAGCACAGGTAGCTGCGGTGCCAGGGACATCGTCATCTTCTCCGCAAGCACCGCCGGTAGCCGTCGAATTTGCGCCGACCTTGGAGCCGCACATGCTGCAGCGCTCAGACGACGCTGCGATGGCTGTAGACTCTCAGTTCTCGGTCTCTCCGGCACAAGGGCAGCAAAATTCAGCTGGCGCCAGTGCATCTCCAAGCGATCACGTGTCTTCAGCCGGTGGTGTTGGACCGGTCAGGCGCGACATGGCTAGCCGCAGGGAATCCAACGCAAGATCACCATATCACGCAAGAGCAGGTAGTAGCGGGACCGCGTCGTCGCCTCGCCCACTGCCTTTGGCTGGACTTTCCGCGCCCATTGGAGGGCCGGCTCTCTTTGCTTGGCAGTCCAAACCCTCTCCAGTCGCGACTAGCTTCGGCGACAATATGAGCTCCTTGCGGCGTTCACAATCTGCACGGAACCCTAAAAGAAGCCATAGACGTGGAGCGGGCAGCGAGGATCTATCGGACATGGCAAGAGGGAAGATCGGCGAACCAGGAGAGTACCTCGCACGCGTTACGGCACCGGATGGTTCGCTGGCCCCGCCTAGTCTGAACTCGTCCATCGGCGGTCCACCTAGCGCTGCCTATTATGCTGGAGTCGGCGCACGAGGTGGTGCCGCTGGCAATGCGTACCGCGTCAGTCATGATCGTCACCCTTCTTGGGAGTCCAACACAAGCAATTCGAGCACCGGCAGTGTCAGCATGGAGCCAGGCGGTTCGCCCGAAAGGCCTTTGGGAAGCTTCAACCCCCGCTTGCCTGGTATGCCTGCCGTCTACACGCCTGGCTCGCTTGCCGCAGGTGTACCCGGATCATCCTACCATATGATGGGCTTTCGCGGCGGGAATTCACCGGGTGGCCAGCTGCCATCGAACGCGTCGCCATCTACTGCTCCTCCGCATCCGCTGGGCTACTCGATGTACTCCCAAACCGCCCTGCCGCAGTACAGCTCTCTCAGCACGCCGCCTTCTGCAGCTTCCGCCAACGCATATGCGTCTTCTTCTTCAATTCCCCCGCCTCAACTGCCACCGGATGGTGTCATGCCACCGATCCAGACGGTTACCACGAGTGCGACTCAAGCGGCCAGCGCCAGTCGCCGCACAAATGCAGCTATACACTATTGTCCCGTGCCAGGCTGCAATTCCTCCTTTACCAGGAAATTCAATCTGAACGGACACTTGCGGTCACACACAGGAGACAAGCCGTTCAAGTGCCGAGAGTGCGGCAAGAATTTTGCCAGGCACTTCGACCTTTCCAGGCACGAACGACTGCACTCGGGAATCAAGGCGCACACGTGCGAGAGTTGCGGCAAAAACTTTGCTCGGATAGATGCGCTACGCCGTCACTTGCGATCTGATGGTGGCCAAGGTGGATGTGCGGCCAGGCTGGGCTCCGTACCTGCATCGCAGGCGCACAGCACCAACGGCAACGGCAATCTGAGCCCCGGCTCGCCATCGACGAGCGAGATGACGAGCATCTCCCCTTCTGGTTCTGCGATTGCTGGACAAGGTACACAATACACCCATCCCACCATCCAGATCGCCTCGAACGGAAATGGCCGCTTCGTTGGTCACGCCATGTAAAATGTACTTGCTGCACTCACCTTTGCCCAAAAGCCGATCGACGATGTTGCTTCGAAGAGAACGTAGCTTGGTGCCCACGCCACGAGAGATTATGATGCTGTGCGCGCGTGCGCTAGGTAATGTGCTCGTAAGGAGTCACGAGCCGACGCTGCTGATCCTTTCGCTCGCTTGCTCTGAAGTGCATTGCGGTGAAAAGTCACACGAGAATGTGGGGCCACATATCTGATCCCGCTCTCTGGTCGCTCTGACGCCCTGCCAGGCTCGTTGGCGGTCTCGCTCCTGCAGCGGGATGAAGGTCGGTGTGAAGGTGCGGATCTCGGGCCCGACGGGTGCGGAATGGGCCGAAGCTGATCGCCACTACTGTGACTGTGACTGTGACTGTGACTGTGACTGTGACTGTGACTGTGACTGTGACTGTGACTGTGACTGTGAGTGTGAGTGTGATTGCATGCATGGTGCTGGTTGACGTGCAGATTTACAAGCCACACGCGTCGGGTAGACCCTGGCGTGTTGGTTAATTGTAACCCTTTGCATGCAGGGGGGCAAGAAAACGTCGACGGTCTAGATCAGCCAACAAGCTGGGCGAGCGAACGACGTGCTGGAAGAGATGTCAGAGTCGGGAGTGAATGGTGCATGACTGAGGGACTGCACGCTTGCTGAGTGAACACGACATGTGTTTCATGAACGATGCATGCGTTCGTCCTTGACTCTCCATGCAGACACGCGGAGCGCAATGCAGACTTGGTTACGTACGGCTGCTACGCGATGGATGTGTCTCAAGCGTATCGAGAACAGGCTCCGACGACTCAAATTCTACCAATGCCTCCCTCGCAGCAGCCTGCAACATTTTTCGCAAGCGAGGGGTTGCGGGACCGGATACACTTGAACGTCGGACTTTCAAAAAAAAAGAGACCCAGTCGCGCACCCCCTGAAGATGCGCTTCGAGCGTCCTGAATGGCACAAAACCTCGACCGCGGACTGTCAAGTCTGACGAGTGCATCTCGAGGCTGTCTTGCCGCAGCTCGTGTCCCCTGTCTGTGTCGATGAGCAGATTCCATTCCGCTACATTCGTGATTCTGCTGGAGACCGTGCCAACGGATAGCGTGGTACGCTTGTGTGTGGCTGACGCTTCGCCATCCGACCGCAGGGCTTGAGCCGTCATCTGGCGGAGCACGAAGCACAGCACGTAGGAAGGTGTGAGGGCCCCGGGACAAGACCCGACATGTCTCGGGAATAGCGACACTGAAGCACATAAAGGGAGGGCATCATTGAAAGTCATGAATGGAGAATACGCACATCTCGATCTCATCCATCCCTGGCTGCCCTGCCTTACCAAGCCGTAACATTCTACCTTTCCTCCTTCGAACATCAACAACATGCGCTCCACATTTGATCTTCGTCTCCTTCTCGCCTCGCTCGTGTGCAGCTTGGCTCTGCTGCGCACAGCATCCGCCATTCCTGCCACGGAGGATGGGCTGCTGATGGCTCGCGGAAATGCTGGCGTTGGCAAGAGCTGCTCCACTTCGCCGCAATGCAAGACGGGTCTGTACTGCAAACGGGGATCCTGCTCTGCCAAACGAGACGTCGGAGGTCCCTGCTACAAGAATAATGGCGTGAGTCTGTAAACGAGCTGCGCGATTGGGGGTGAACAAGCTGCTGTGGCCCTGACTGACTGACGCGACGGATGCCTTTGGTCTTCTCCTCGTAGTGCGTCTCGGGCAAGTGCGTCAAGTCTCGCTGTGCGGCCATCTCGACTCCAGCGCTGCTTCCTGTCGGCTCCAAGTGCTCCACGAGCGCCGCTTGCGCCTCGGGCTACTGCGGTCGCTCCAAATGCGCAGCCAAGCTCGCTGATGGAGAAGGGTGCTACAAAGACGTGAGTACAGGTCCGATGTGGACGGCGTCACTGAGTTTCAAAAGTTGGGCAAACACCGACTTGGATCGCACTCCACCACTCACACAGAACGGCTGCACTAGCGGCAAGTGCACAAGCGGCAAGTGCGGTGCAGGAACAACGACGCCCACCAAGCCGCCGGTGATTGTAGCGGGCAATCGGGTAAGCAACCCGAGCTTTGAAGACGGCACGCTCGCTGCCTACACCACCAAGGGCGATGTAAGCATCGGCTCTGCTCCAGGCGCAGCGTACGATGGCAAGTACTACGCCATCCTGAAGTCTGCTCAAGGCGTGTCTGCGAGTCTAGGACAAAGTACGAGCGTAAAGCGAGCAATCACAAATTCTTATCAAGTCAAATTTCAATATCGCGTTCCTGCGCTGTCCAGCACAAGTCGACCATATTGCTACATCGCACCAGCCATCAACGGAGCAGCTGAAGCAGCTGCAGAGCCCCACTTTTTGGACGCTGCAGTGACTGGCTGGAGAGAGTACAGCAAGCTGTTGGAGAGCGAGCCGGCGATCAATAGCATTGAAATCTTCACGTACTGCAGCAGCACCACAACGGCTACGTTTGATGTGGATGCCCTCAGCTACGTACAGGATCTGCAGGGTGGACATCCAAACAACATCAACAACAAGGGAAACCTCATCTTGAATGGCAATTTTGGAGAGCATGCCAATCCCGGAGCGTACTGGAGCATCGAAGGCAATGTTCAATTCACCGACGCTGGCTATCCCGTCCACACGGTCAACCAGGAGAACAATTACTACGCGTGAGTAGCCTGCCTCTTCACCAACGCAACGTCGCTCGAAAGTGGTCCGTGCGATGATTGTTGCTGTCCGCTGACCCAGCAAATTCCGGACCTCTGGCTCTCTCTGCATGCAGACTTTTGACCGCACCTAGCGGAGGTCTAGCAGCGATCCGGCAAAACTACAACGTCTACCCAATCAGCGGTGTCGAGCCATACAGAGTCATTCCGGGATTCGTTCACTTCATCTCCTCCTTTTCCCGCTCCGCATCCACGCCCGATGCCGTTTGTCGACTTCGCACAACCATGAACGGTTTGGCCTACTCAGACGATATCGTCATCGACGCCGCCAGTCCCGACAATGGACCGGACCAGACCTACTTTATCGAGCACAATACCATCATTGGAAGATTCGACCAGCCTGGACTAGACAGACCTTTTAGACTCCAAGTCGACTGCGATCAGGGCGCACAGGCTTCCGTAAGGCTCGACCGTACCTCCATCCTTGTCGACCGCGAAAATTAAAACTGGCAACGCTCTAGCGCCAGATTGCACCACCGCCGCCACTAGGCTCCGCCTCTCTTCGATCTCGCTCAATTTGCAACAGTCCACGCACTTTCGTTTCAGTGCAGCACCTTCTCTTGTTAGCCTTGCCTCCACCCCTCGTACCGCGTCACCTCTGTCACCTCGCTGCACTCTCAGCTCATGCGCATCGTCTGCCCGCTCGTGTATCTCGTGTTCACAACGCGCAATGCGATGATGCGGAACACTTTCGGATCTCGCAAGATGCATTTTCGATGTGATGTGTGTGTGAAACGTTTGGCAATGGCAGCGGTCTCACAATTGCCCGCAGCTTTGGATTGCAAGTGACCCTAGGCTTCCTGCTCTGCGACGTCGAGCTGCTCATCGACACCGCAAACGCACCTCCTCATGTGCTGCAGAGCCTCGCACAGGTTCTGCCTCCCATTCTGTCTCTCCCCAAGGACAGCACACGACAAGCTCCGCTCGGCGCCGCGACCATCGAAAGAGCAAAAATTTACCCAATGAGATCTCCCATCGCGCCCATTTCTGCTCCTCCCATCTCGCGCATACCTGTGGCAGTGCAAGCACGCACAGCGTGGTCAGCATTTGACCGCGCGCGACCCATTCAGACACGCGAAGCACGACTCACCGAGCTCAAAGTAAGACTGTGAGGTGCGGGCGAGCGCAAAGTGTGGCACAGTTGGATCAGTGGTATATCGCAACGACAGCCTATCTCGCTCGACTTACAAAGATTGTGGTGCTTGCGAGGAGAACTCCAGTACCGCTACCAAATGCTCCGATGAGGTCTGCAGCGACGCTGCCGAGCGCAAAGCAAGAAGGAAGTGGACCAGATGACGTTAGACAAGTGTGCGAAGGCGATTGCTCGCATGACCCAACACACTCACGAGAGAGCACCAATCGTAGCGCCTCCGAGCATAGCAGCGCTAGGAATGACGCGCTTCAGTTCCTTGTACATACCGCCCTCTCGGTGTCCAGCCATAACCATTTGAGCCTCCTTGAGCTGCTTAGCAACTTCTCTAGGTCCACTTCCGCTGACTTCAATCCAAGCTTTGCTAAAGAGGGCGCAAGCGGTGCAGGTAAAGATGATGTAGACCGCAGTGTGGACAGGATCTCCAACGACTTCCTTGAAAGTGTGTGGAGGCGACATGTAGTAAGAGATACCGCTGATGGCGTGCAGCTGAGGTGAATCTTCCATGGGTTCCCAAGTCCCCAACAATTTCACTCCCAAATTCTTGGGAAAGCGAGAAAAGAGCATTTGAGAGATGATGAAGACGTTGGACGTCAGCGCGCTCTCCAGCATGATGGGCATGTTGGAAGTGTAGAAGAGCTTCACTGGGTACGTTCCTCGTTGACCTCTGAATCGGTTGGACTTGACTGGAATTTCGATGCGGAAACCTTGGAGGTAGATCACGACCAAGAAGACCACTAAGGTGGCCACCAGATTCATGACGTTTGGAAGACGTTCGCGATAGAAAGCTTCTTTGAGTGCCCGAGTCTTATCGTTCCAAGTGAAGAGCAGGTGGAAGAGTGCGACCAAAGCACCTTCGAATTCGGGGCCACGCCCAGTGTTGATGGTAGTGGGTGAAAAGGCTTTCCAAACAATCGACTCGCAAATGTTTGTTGCAATGAAAAGAGAGATGCCAGAGCCCAGACCATAGCCTTTTTGCAAGAGCTCGTCGAGGAGGATGACGATCAGGCCGGCTACGACGAGCTGCAAGATGAGCAGAAGGCAGACACCTGCTCCCAGGTCCGCCGGTTGGCCATAGAGCCCCGTCAGCACGTACACCGTTGCTTGGCCAAGCGAGATAATCATTGCGAAGACTGCGATTGCGACGGGAAGGAGGATGTTGAGTGTGTGCTTGTGCAAAGAATAGTCCGGTTCACTCACGCTTCTGAGCACCGCCGAAAAGAGCGCGATCTTCCTTGAGACTGAAGTCTACCTCGACCAAGTTGGCACCGGCCAAGAGCTGCATGATCATACCACTAGTGACGATGGGCGAGATGCCAAGTTCCATGAGTGTACCTCTGTTGGAGGCGAGAATGACACGCATCCAGTAGAGGGGATCCGAAGAATCAGATGACATGATACCGTAAAGCGGGATTTGGGAAGAGACCAAGAAGATTCCTAAGACGATAGCTGTCCACGCTATACGAGACTGAAATGGTACTGCGGGCAACAGAGCACAAGTGATCAGCATGCGTACGCTGCGGCGGCTGTCACTCAAGAGAGTGAGATGCTTACCCTTGCGCTCTGGAGCTGATACCTCGGGCAAGATCGACATGAAAGGTCGCACAAGCGACAGAAAGCGGACTGTATGCGTCGATGCGTTTCGGCAAGAACAGATGCTTTAGTGTCAGCTTCGTGTTCAATGGGCGTCTATTGTTGGCATCGCGGCGATGCGCTTTTGGAACTCACAACCACTCATGCTGGGCAACGATGCTCTCTGCTATGCCAGCTTCGTAGGAACCACCAATGTCAAGGGTGACGTGCCGAGAGCTGATATAGATGGCGCAGCAGATGCTGGCGAGCCTCTCGCAAGCTTTCGGAGGTGAAGTAATCGAGGCGTCTGGCTAAGCGATCCAAGCTCCCGGGTTGACTGCGTAGGCAAGTGCTTCGAAACAGGGCGGATGACGCACCCAACACGACCAAGCTCGAGTGGAAGAGCTTCGCGCTGCTATCTATCTTTGAGGTGACAAGCCGGTGGAGCTATCGGCCAGTCTGTACAAATTGGATGGGAGACCTTTAGATACCCGTCAAGTGCCAAGCGATGACGCTGTGGTATGAAGACCGCTCGCTGCATATGGGGTTCTTCCTACGCACCACCGCGCAGAAGCTAGATCTCTCGCCCCGTGCGTGCGGGCATCCCCATGCGGTGCCAGCGCGCCTCGTCCAGGCACACGCATGCCCGTCCAGCTCCACGTCGCCCAGCTTAATTGGCTCGCGGCGGCTGCGTGCAAGCGACCACGTGAGCGGTGGATGTCGTCTGCAGCTCTCGTGCGAGAAGTTCATGGCTTGCCCGATCACTGAATCAAGCCTCCACAAATCACGCACAGAACAGCTGCTGTGTACCGTGGCTGCATGCTGGGCGTCCCGCACAGACGAGCGTAGCTTGCTATCCTCACGACTCGCGACCTCATATCGAGCGCAATTGCCGACCGAGGGGCTGAATACCCAGATCACGATTCCTCTACTTTGACTGACAGCCGTCGAAGCATACATCCTTCCCGAAGCTAGAACTTTCATCCCGATTAGTCAGATCGCAGCAAGCTTTACCCAGGCGTTCGTAAAGCGTCCAACGTTCTAAGAGGTGCCAAACGCATCTGCCAAAGAAGACGTCCGACCGACGCGAATCAACTCGAGAGCAGCAATAGCGAGCAGACGAGATGTCGGCTGCTCAGCGGCTTCCAGCAGACCAGGCTCAGCAGGCCGAAATGCAGGCACGTTTCGTGCAGGAGCAGCAAATGTCTGCTGTTGACGCTCAGACGGGAATTGAGCAAGCGCCCAGGGGTACGGAACCCATTCCCGAATCTCAATTGAATCCTGCTTTTGATAAGGTGTGTCAGAAGGCTTGCAAAGGGGCGGATTGGATGCAACCAAAGCAGGCGCATGAGAGATATGGCTTGGAATGTTGAAGAAGAGAGCGCTGAAGGGCCTAGCTCAGATGCTGCTCCATGCGCGCTCGGAGCTTCTCAAAGAGGCCCAAGCAAGCAGGCAGTTTCAGGTCACCTGCTCAGCAGTCCGATTCGCGTTTACAGGCGCAAGTGCTCACTCACGCTTGCGTGTCCCCACAGGATGATCTACGACAAGGTCATCCGCCTCCTGCAGTGGCCAAAGGTATACGTATTCCCAAGAAAATCAAAGTCCGTAGACCGAGAGCTTTGAAAGGAAAGCCTTGGGAGAAGGGAGAGGGCGCGGAGAATGTGACGGCAGATGACATGACTGACGAGGTGAGTCTTTGAGAGCGATGCGACGTGTCAAGCATGTTGCTCGCTAATCCACACTGCATGTTGACCTTGACCTCTGCGCCTAACCTTCCTCCCGCTCCCTGCAATAATCTCAGGAGATCGAGATGGAAGAGGTGCGTTTGCGGTCGACGTCTTGGCTGATACTGCAAGTCCAGTGCACAAGGCGTGAGCTACTTCGAAGCTAACGCATACACCTATCCTTAACAGGATGAAGCTGAAAAGAAACCGGGTCTGATCGGAAAGATCCTTGGCAAGAGTTGATTGTGCTGCGATCGTTACACCAGAGTTCAAGAGCACACCGTTGTGATGCTTACGCCCCTCAGCGGGTACGCCACTGCAAGTATACGAGTGAGAGAAAGCCTGGTCATTCGGAATCATCGTCGACTCATGAAGGGTGCAAGCATGGCTAGAGCGAGCTTGTGGAAGCTCATCTCCCGAAATGCTGGTCCGGAATTGTGACTCGTGGACGTGGGATGTAGACGTTCCATGCAGCGGAGTGCTTCCACCTGGCAGACCGCGCACCAATTTAGATCCGCTTCGTAAGCGCCAGTTCCCTCACATCACTTTGACTACTACTACTTGGTCGTTGAGGTGCATAGAAACCAGTCGTCCGTCCATTTTACGGGAAGTGAAAGCCAACAGTTGCGAGTCTGCCGTCGCCTTGGACGCATGGCATGGACCACCACGGTCGGATGTGGTGTGGGAACGCGCCTCACGTGCCATGGCGACATTTGTGTGATGAACTGCGTGACGCGCGCAGAAACGCAGCCATCAGCCCTGCGGCATCCATCACTCAAGCGTGACGCTGACTGCATACCAAACGCGCCGCGTAGCCCCCACCCTCGATCTGCGCTTCACCGCCTCGTTCACACCCCACCAGTCGAAGGCATAAGCACAGTCGTGACTTGAACGTTCAATGTGAGTCTCTGTGATTGAGTCAAGATGAGATGCGAGCATGTGATGTGTGAAAAGGCTTTAGCCGTGCAAGGACTGCGATTTCGAGATGCATGATTCGTGATGACTATTCACACTCACATTGTGATTGTAATTGTAATTGTGATTGATTATAGGGTGACGATGGGTTCTCCACTCTGGCTGCGCTGCATACATGAGGTGCAACCAACTCGCAGCTACACTGTACTGTATAGACCTTCTGCAGCTAGCTCAAGCCGTGATACGATACGCATGCATGTCCCTGGTGGATGACTGGCCAATCGTGACTCTCTTGTACGTCACTCGGACTCGCTCATGGCCAAGGACCGCCATCACCATCACCACCCTGGAATCGGCTCCCTGCCGCTTCTTTCGAGCGTTTCACACTCAAATGCGGCGGCGAACAGCCTTGCGCGATTCTACCAAGCACATCTTAACTAAGCGCTCATGTGCTCGCAACACATTTCCCCTGATTTGGACCGCCTCTCGCTCTACGGTCCCCAGGAACAAGCTCTGAGCGCGGATCAGAATGTTGGCGCGAGCCGGAGCGGCGGAGCGATCTCGGAATGGCGTTTAGACTACACTCGGTCACGCGACACGAGATCCAGGCCAAACGCTGCGCCCACACCCATCTCTCAACCTTCGTCCCGCATCCCAGCACAAGGCGGGAGCTTCTCAAGCCAGATCGAGACATCATCGAGTAGGAATGCGAGCGGGTCGAGGCATTGGAACAAGTCGCACCCCAGCCTTCTGGCGTGCTCCCTCTCTAGCAACGAACCTCTCTCCTCTCTCTCTTCGCCATCGGAGCCCGGCGCAAGCTTTGCAGCTAGCGGTCCTTCGGTTCCTACACAAAGCCTTTCATCTGGCATTGCTCGCCAGAGACCACCCTTGCAGGACCAATCGGCTTTGCGCTCACCTACGAAGCACCCTACCGAGGAAGGCAGCATGACCCAGCCTGGTATGGAGCCGAGATTGTCGCACACAATGTCTCATAATTCGACCTCGGTGCTGAGCTTGGCGGTGGATGAGCAGAGCGGACTGGTGTTTAGCGGGAGCCAGGCAGAGGACATATACGTGAGTGTGCGGCGAATAGAAATACGCCAGGTGATGGAGGCACTCATTGGCGAGCATACTTCCGTCCTCAGGTCTGGGATTTGGGTACTTTCCAAGAGAAGACGAGACTAGAGGGTCACACTGCATCGGTGCTTGCGCTCGAGTTGTGTCCGGAAAAATCTTGGCTCTTTTCTGCTTCGGGAGACAGCACTGTGCGGATCTGGGACACGAAGACGCTCTCTCCCCTTTGCGTCATACATCCTGCTGATGACCGGGTTGGAGATATTTTCGCTCGTGAGTGGGAGGCTCACGAAGAGTGGGCGGTGTATCGCTCCCTACTCCTACTACTGACGATGCGTACCTTGTGGCCAGTGAAATGGTGCTCGGAGCTGCAGACCCTGTATTTCGGTTGCCAGAACACTAGCCTTCAGGTGAGTGAAGCGAGGCTTTGCGAGCCGTGCGCACGAAGTCGCGACCTAGAGATCTGAACAGAGCGACTTTTTTTTTTTTCCCCAAACGCAGTGGATTGCCCTGACTTCGATCACTTCTGCGATCAGCCAAGACGAAGTGCGAGCAGTGCCCATAGTGCGACCGCACAAGTTCTTTGATTCCGGACCGCACGCGGGAAGTCAAACACGTCTGAGCACGAGCTTGAGTCGAAGTGCCAGCGGAAGGTCTACTCCTGCCGCAGGCTGGCCCAGAGGCAGTGCAAGGGGAGCAGGCTTTTCCACACCACCACTGGACTACTCGCCTGTGCTTCCTAGTGTAAGAACGCCAGGTGATCGTGCAGGCGTATCCTTGCCTTTTCAAGTCGGCGATGCGGAAGATGGCTTCAACTGTGCTCCTGATTCGCCTACGCAAACGCCTTTGCCTGGCCTGGAAGAGAGTGATAAAGTGAGGAGGTTGCAAGTACAGCAGCGACATATGGTCTCTTCAGCGCACAGCGGATACATTTACGCCCTCGACTTGCTTGAGAAACCGGATCGACACCTTGACGGAGGAGGTCAGCGAAGGGGAGGGTCCAAACAGATGCTTGTCAGTGGTTCTGGAGATGAGGACATCAAGCTTTGGTCGTGTACGCCAGAGGGTCTGACTCAAGAGGCAGTACTACATCATAGTGACAATGGAGTCTTGGCATTGGCGTCGTGGGGCAGCTGCACGCTTTTCGCTGGCCTGCAAGGAGGCGACGTGGAGGTGTGGGATGTCGAGACCGGGCGCGTCGTTCGGACATTGCACGCTCACGACGACGATGTGCTGGCTCTAGTCACAGCCGGCAGCATCGCAGACGAAGATTCTTGCATCCTCTACTCGGCCAGCGCTGACGGTCGAATTCGAAGATGGGACGCTAGCTTCAAGTGCACCGCCGACTGGGTTGCCCACAACGGCATTGTGCTCTCGATCGCTTCCTTGCCGCAGGCTGTTGGTAATCAGGGGAACATAGTCTTGACGGGCGCTTCCGACGATCGGATCAAGGTCTGGGACTTGCTCCTTAGCGCTGGCACTTTGGAAAAGCATTCCCGGCCAACGGCAGGACCTTCTTCTCTTGGCACCGCAGATCCCATGATTGGCGCCCTCGCCCAATTCGTCGCGTTCAAATCGGTCTCTGCCAACGAGAATCTGCGGGAAGATTGTCGCCAGTGCGCGCACTGGCTGAAGAATCACCTCACCGATTTAGGAGCGGAGACGGCTTTGCTGCCGGGCGCTGAAGGCCACAATCCGCTCGTGCTGGCAACGTTCAGGGCCAACAAATCTAGACTTGCTCCACGCAAGCGAGTCGTTGCCTATGCTCATTACGATGTCATTACTCCTGGTCCGTGCGAAAGCTGGTCGAATAGTCCTTGGTCGCTGACGGGCAGAGACGGATATCTCCATGCCAGAGGAGTCAGCGACAATAAGGGTCCTTGTTTAGCTATCGCATACGCCGCTGCAGAATTGGCAAAAGAAGGCACGCTTGGCGCAGACGTTACTCTGGTCGTCGAGGGCGAGGAAGAAGCTGGAGGTTGTGGCTTTACGGAGGCGATCAGAGCAGCCAAAGAACAGATCGGCCCGGTGGTGAGTCTCAAGATCGACACGTGCCGACCATGTCAGTCATTGCTAAAAGATTCGTCTTGTCCTGTGCGCAGGACGTCATTCTTCTCTCGAATTCCTACTGGCTGGGGGAAGACACGCCTTGCCTCACCGTCGGCTTGCGCGGCGTCGTACAGGCTGATCTCGAAGTCAGGAGCGACTTTCAGGATCGTCATTCTGGAGTAGACGGCGGCGCAGTGCGGGAGCCGATGATCGACGTGAGTCTTCGAATTTTTCGTTGGCCGCCACCTTGTCACCACAGCTGAGCGTCGCGCTGCTCGAACTCCCGCACTGGGCAGATGATCAAACTCTTGGCAAGTTTGACAGAGGGCGAGCGTGTCTTGTTGCCCACTTTCTACGACTCTGTGCGGCCAATAACGCCAGCGGAACGGGCGATGTATGCGCAGATTGCGCAGATGAAGCATAGTCGAGCCAGCGGCCAGACAGTAGAGGCTTTGATGGCTCGATGGAGGCTACCTAGTCTTTCCGTGCACCGCATCTCGGTCAGCTCTGGTTCTGGTAGTGGAAATGCTACCGTAATTCCCAGCACCGTGACCGCTGCTGTCAGTCTTCGACTGGTGCCGGATCAGGATCTGGATGTGATCACGGACACTCTGATAGCGCATGTGAGCGCGCATTTCGGAAAGCTTGCCAGTCCCAATCGTATCGGCGTGAGTTGAGCCCGCTTTGAGATGTGCGCAACGATCGTGAATTCAGTGTGGCCCCCTGCTGACATAATTGCCCGTACCTTTATCGCGCCCAAAATTTGTTGACGCGGTCAGGTCTACATCAAGCATCGCGCAGATTGGTGGCTAGGCGAAGACAGCGCCTACTCCACCGCTTTGGCCTTAGCCGTGCAGTCCGAATGGGGACAAGCGCCGGTGTCGATACGGGAAGGAGGATCCATTCCAAGTCTGGCCATACTGGAAAAAGAGCTAGAAGCTCCAGCGGTCCATCTACCCATGGGACAAGCTTCAGACAGAGCTCATCTGGCTGATGAGAGGCTACGACTTGTCAACTTGCTCAAGGGCAAATCGGTCGTCAAGCGCTGGCTCGCATCTTCAGCCATTTCTAACGCGTCTCAGAGATGAGGGCGAAGGACAAATTGTTCCTAAGAGGGACAACGCACCAAAAATACGACACCTTGCTGTCTCTGGACGACTGGGTTTGCAAGCACGCTCTTGACCCGCAGTTTCGAGCCTCGAGTCTTTCAAAGCCCTTCGTCCGGTCAATCGCGTTTGTGTAGAATACCACCTTGTACTCTATCTGCATCACGCGCTCCTCGCAATTGATCTTTTTCCCTACCACGCGATGCCTGACTGACGCTCATCCCATCTCTGCCCGATCCGCGCCTACGGCGACGCGCACAACACCCTTGATCATTCGCATTGAACGGCAAATCAGCAGCCTGCTTACTTACTCACTCGAGTCAAGCAAGTGTTTTGGAGATGGTCGCACACGAGATAACGTTCATCACAGCTTCGAGATTAATTCCCGCTCCTCATCTGAGCCACACTTGGCATCAGC